GTATAGCTTTGCTCACAGGATATACTAAACCATAAAGCATGTTTTTTGACTTCTGTTTTTTTTATGCCTTCAAGTCAGTCTTGACTCTTGGCAACCGCCTGGGCTAATCCCTGCAGTTTTCTTGGCAAGATTTTTGGAAGTGGTTTGCCCTTGCTTCCTTCCCAGGGCTGAGAGAGAGGGACTGGCCCAAAGTCACCCAGTTGGCTTCATGCCTAAGATGGGACTAGAACTCTAGGCTGGTGCCTTAGCCACTACACCAAACTGGCTCTAAGCAACCCCAACCACATTCTATCTGAGTGTGTTGTGTGAACCTGGTCATTCTGTACAGCCTAACATGGTCTGTTTGATTTGGCTTAGCAAGTTGTTTACTAAACCACCCTGTTCAGCAAACCACGGTTTATGATTAGCCTTTTAAGGTATCAAAGCAGCACTCAGTGGTGGCTAACCTAACTTCCAATCTCTTCCAGAAGTTTGAACCAGAGGAGGTGGTTTGGAGTCACAGCCCTGCAGTTCAGAGAAAGAAGAGTGTACAAAATGGGATGGAGGGAGAGGTGAGAGGCAAATGCTGCTCTTCCTGCAATCCTTCAAAGGCTGGAGACTTCTGGCTGTACGTCAGCAGGCAAAATAATTCCTTCCTGATCCCCAGCCAAACTGCTGGAATGTAAAGAAGAAGATATCGAGGCAATAGCATTGATCTCAGTCCCTTCCAGGCCCCCGGAGGAATTCTGCACTAAAGGAGTGCATCAGCTAAAGTGATCAGAGGGGCAGCCTGCCACGATCCAGGTCTCCATCACTGAGGAAGACAGGAGCAGTTCACACTCAGGACAGAAGCAGGAGCAAGAGGCCAGAAGGCTCTCTGGGTGTGAATGGCAGCCGGGCACAGCAGACCACTCGCTTCCCTCCCTCCAAGCTGTGCGGTAGGGAGACACTGGCTCTGGCCTGAGGCTGTGCGCGTGCGTGCATGTGTGCGTGTGTGCGTGCCCCCCCCCCACACACACACAGGGAGACAAAGCTTAAAGCAGCCAAGGTTGAGAAACACCGTCTTAGATTCTCCAGGGTCCTTTAGCTGCATTCATGCATACAACCAACCAAGCCTGATTTACTTAAACCATGTTTTTCTCTGAATAGCTCATAGTTGGCTGGCCTTCCCCTGCACTTGATGCTGCGAGCCATGGTTTACAAATCATACCAGTTGGGTTCACACAACACCCAAAGGCAAGGTAATCAATGTGTGAATCCTGCCAGTGGGAACAGAGAATAATCAGGCTAAGGCAGTGATCCTAAAGGAATACAGGCCAGGGGAGACCTGTGTTCAGATCCCTACTCATCAGCGATGCTCACTGGATATCCTTAGTCCAGTTACCATTCCTTGGCTTCACCTATCTTGTGGCTTTGCTGTGAAGACTACAAGAAACTAATATGCAAGCCCAGATGGGCAAGCAGTACTAGAAATGCTTTAGAATAGATTTTTCCAATATGATGCCCACTGATGCCCTGGGACTACAATTCCCACCATTCCTAACCCAGTTGCTTGAGACTCTAGTTTTTTTGGAAAAACAGTCCCCTGCTGTTTGACAGATGTTCTGCAGTATTTAAAAAGAAAGCTAGCTTTGCTTACTGTGGGAAATTGCATGTTTGGCAGTAATATTTCTCATTTTTCTTTGAAAAAGTTGCAGTGTCACCAGAAAGTCCACTGTATATAAATCACTTGTGCCTTGATGGTTTGCTTGCTTCAACTAACATCTGGGCTGATTTTCATTTATTCAGTGGAAGAAGGATAAAGACCAACCTTAAGGAACGGAAAGGCAGGATCCAAAATGTGCACATGTGAACCACCAACTTACCAACCTCATTTTAGATCAAGCTATTGCTTGAACCCAGCTCAAGTAGTTAGTTTATGGTTCAGGGACTTTTGCAAAATCAAATTGCTCCCCAATCATTGTTCCTTAGCCCTCCTCCAGGATGTTTCTACTATGCCAGTTTCCCCCACCCTCAGGTATCCGGACATGTTATCTTGGTTGAAACATCTTGAGGATATGCCTGTATTTTAGTAGGCAAATCCTCAACATGTGATGTAATTATTGACTTCATTTGGTACCTAGCATTTTTTTCCCTGCCTAGTGCTAAATATCACACACTCACTTTAAGGTCAGGAGGCAGACTGTTGATGAGCAATACTGTACTGCCATGAAGCTGTTCTTGACTCCATGGAATTTGGAGATTTGTTCAAGGCTTCTCACGTGGAATACTTGATCCCTTCCCAAATTCTCTAGGTCCACCAGACCATTCTAGATGCAAGGGAGATAACTGTGGGACCATGCTCAATGACTCAGAGCTATTTCAGCCTCCCATTTCATGGAAAGCCCAATAACTCATATCTTGGACCGCTGGAAGGAGCCCTGCCTCTCTTTCACTGTTCACATGCCTCATTCGTTTCTGACTGTAATCAGGAACATTAGGAAAAATTAGGAGCAGCCTCAGAAAGCAGATTTTGAGGTAGCACAGAGAAGCGTAAATGAATGTGTTATTTCATTTGTTACCATTCTATTTTTATAGCTAGGGATGTTCTACTTTGTGTGTCAAAATAATTTGCCTGGTTTGGGATATTGATGCTCCCTTAGGCAGCAAGATGCCTGGGGCCAGCCCTGACATTCCTTGAACATGAGGAAGGCTCTGGGCCCTTTTCCTCCAGACACACTACTTTCATTCATTCTACTCCTAGTTCCGCTGGGATCTCCTTGCAAAACCCGCTGTTGTGGAAGGATGTGGACTCTATTTATTGGTACCTCTGGACATCAGCAACAAATTGCAGGATGTTGGGTTTTTCCATTCAGTCTTTCATTTCCAACCTTTCTAGTCCCCTCAGAATTTCACTCCAGATGTTCTTCTCTGCCCATGCCTGGAGGCATGGGAACTCAAGTCTTTGCAAATTCTGCCTTATTCTCATGTACTTCCGGTTGCTTTGCTAGATGTTTCTCCTTCTGGAACTGCAAAAACTTACTGATTGTTTCTTTGCCATTTTGCCCATGGGGCAGTCTAAAGTGGACTTCCTAGACCTGGTCTCCTCCAGATGTGCTGGATGTGAATTCAGCCTAATTGCCAGAGAGCAGGCAAAGCAGCAGATCCTATATGATGATTGGCTAAGCAGGAGAATGATAGAGCTATTGTAGGATTCCAATATAAGGTGAAACTGCAACAGAATATTAAAGTGTTCCTGTCCAGATAGAAATGCTGTTTTTCAGGATATTCCCTTCCTTTCCATTTTGAAGAGTATTAGCATTCAGTGACTAGTGAGTATTGACATATAGATTTTTGTTATATTTTTTCTAAAAAAGTGCACTTCTGCAAACCTTGAGATTCTCCAAGCTCTCTGATCCCTTCCTACTGTGTGGGGCTGCTGTTTTGGCTACCTGAGGATCCACCTTCCCATTTTAGGCTTTTAAACCTATGGAGTCAGACCCCCCCTGCAATTTATGGTTTGGTGTTTGGAGCAAACCCAGAAAAGGGATGAACTCAGTAACAAGGTTAAGTTTGTTGTGCAAACACAATCATTAATATTGGCAAGACATAATAAGCTACCCTTCTCCAGCCCAATGTCCTACAGAGGGGAGATGGTGTAGAGCAGGGTTCCTCAACCTCAGCAACTTTAAGATAGGTGGACTTCAACTCCCAGAATTCCCCAGCCACCTATCTTAAAGTTGCTGAGGTTGAGGAACCCTGGTGTAGGGTATTGTACTGCAGAAAGTGATATTAAAAAAGGATGAAGATCATCCTTTATTCACTAACAGCACTGAGTTTTACTCTTATGTCCACCACAAAGTTCCACATCGTTTATTCCACTTCCACTACCTCTGCTTGGGGAGAGGATGACATCTTGTGGTTGTGGGAAAATACAACATCATTTATTAACCTTACCTTTTCAAATCAGCTGCAGAAACCACCACATGATATGATTTTTGCACATGTTCACTCTCATGAGGTGCTCTTATACAGTGAAGGAGAACTATAAGCCTGATCCAGAGAGTCGGTCCCAGGAAATAAAGGATGCTAAGGACCTAAGCTGATACCTGCTGTGGGATCAGCTTTTGTTACTATACTTTAAAGATTTATACCAGAAGTAGAACAATACGGAACAGAAACTTTATTGCGGACAATGACCGGTCCATCTGGAAGTAGAAACAACCAAAACTCTAGAGCAGGGTTTCTCAACCTTGGCAACTTCAAGACGTGTAGACTTCATAGGCTGGCTGGGGAATTCTGGAAGTTGAAGTCCACACGTCTTAAAGTTGCCAAGGTTGAGAAACCCTGCTCTAGAGCAAGGAGGCTTTGTAGTATCCTTGGTTTAAATATCTGTACAGATTTTCATGTCACTGTGATTCCTTCCTAACGCAGGTTTGCAGAATGTGCCCAAATCCATCAGCATTGAATGGAAGAATCGAAACAGGAGCCCGTTGTGCTTCTGGTTTTGGGCTTTGCAAGAGGAAAGTCTCTGGTTTCCCTTCATAAAAATTGCAGTGGGTCTATAGCTTGCCTCTTTCAGCAAGCCTTTTCATGTATATCTGACATACTTTAGGGTGCTCTTACAGTCATTTCTCCAGAGATTGTGTGGATAAGCAAGGCTGATAGGCCGCGAGGGACAGGGTAACAGATGATGCAGAGAGCGCCTGACGGGAAGGATATTATGAGTTCCTAATCAGAACCCAAGTGAGTCACCCTTCTTTTAACCACATCTGGCACTCCCTGCCTGCAATTTCCCCCCTCCCCCCCCCCCCCCCCCCCCCCCCCCCCC